CAGAAGTTAAAGAGAACAATTTTTCACCCTCCTCCTTGTAACAACCTTTTATGTACTTGAAAACTGTTATCATGTCCCCTCGCAGTCTTCTCTTCTCCAAACTAAACAAACACAGTTTTTTCAATCTTTCCTCATAGGTCATGTTTTCTAGACCCTAAATCATTTTTGTTGCTCTCCTCTGGACTTTCTCCAATTTGTTCACATCTTTCCTGAAATGTGGCACCCACAACTAGACACAATGGATAATAATGTCCATTATCACTCTGAAAAGAGCTAAGTTAGCCACAGTTGCAGAAGCTATAGAGGGTTTAGCTAGTAATGAGTAAATTGATGGGTGAGTTCATAGTTGGCTCATATGTAATCCCAGGGTTTCTGTCTTCTAGACCTAGAATAGCTTTCATGTTCAATCAGGATACTTAATTTTCCATTTGCAAACCCAACTATTGCCACTAGTTGAGGGGGTCAGCACATGGGCAGTTTATTATGGGTGACACCTAAAACAAGAGAAGGATAAGTGAATGCTGCTTACTGTCTTCACAAATGCAGGTGATGATAAAACTGTAACTAGTCCACAAAACAGCCAGCAATGTAGTATCTATTTTACAATGAGGAAAATGAGACACAGAGAGGTTATATGATCTGGCAGGAACCATACAAGTAGTCAGTAAAAGAACAGCAAATAGAACTCTCATTTTTCTGGATCCCAGATCTGTACTTTGTCCCTTTGACTATGCTTCCTCTCTAGGTACAAGGAATGTAAGGCCCTTCTAGTGGAGAGAGCATAGAATAAGATCCCTTGCCTGGTGGGGACCACTATCTGGCAAGGTAACACAGTTAACTGCCCAAATATTGTAGAAAAAGTTCAGAAATAGTTTCACATTTATGCTGCTGATAGCCAAACAAACATCTTACTCTGACATATGACACCCTTAAGCACTTGCAAGCAAGTTGAGAAAACCTTGTTTGTTCACAGTCATGGAAATGATGGAATGTGTCATTGTGAACCTGCTGTCAGAATAGGTCAAGTCAGTGTTGAATACTTTGGTACTTAGCTCTTGGCCTCTTGTAACCCATCATTATTTAGAAAAGCAAAAAAAAAAAAAAAATTAAAATAACCAGCCAACCACCCTTTATGCTGTATTCATCTGAAAAAAGTAAGCTAGGAAAGAAAAACAAAAATAAAGTTCACTTGAAAAATGCTCCTTGGAAATGGGAAATGATTCAAAGTGACACTTTTAATATTTTTCCATTTTATTTTGGGCTCTCTTGTCAGGCTCTGGTAAAATAAATAATATTGGAGAGAAAGGAAACTAGAGAAACCAATAATTAAGAGGGGCATGAAGATGAGAAAGTCACCCATATATTAGGCAAAAAGATACAGAGTAGTAGGGCAACAGGTACATTTTAAATGCTGAGTAATAAACTATGGCATATTACACTCATATGGCAATTTTGTTCAGCAGATCTCAAAGCATTTTATAAAGGAGGGTAAAGGATCATTAACTAGTTTATAGTTGGGAAAACTGAAGCACAGAATTGCCATCTTTCTCAAGAACAGGGACCAGAGAAGATGACATTCTAATGTTGTCGAAGCCAGCCCATGAAGTGTCATAAATAGTTACATCCTTTTGGTTTTATTTGATATTATGTTTGCCTAATGATAATCTAGATGCTGGTATTTGCCAGTGTGGGACCCATGAGACAGGCAGACAGGTGGAAGGTAAGGCCCTGTGAAGACCATGAGGCGGGCAAAACCAGTGAAGCACAGAACTTCCATGGCTGCAAATCAATGGAAGAGCACCTTGTTGGGATGGTGCCAAATTGGTGTGGCCATACTGAATGAATGGTGTGAGCAAAGCTTGATATGACTTAAACATGGCCGAATGACTACAGAGGATCCTAGGAGCAGATTAGATAAAGGACTGGCAAAGTCTTTGTGTATGAACAATATTGAACCTATTGGTCAGCAAATATGGGCCCATGCAAAAGTAAATATCCCATGTATAAAGTTCCAGTATGGAGCACAGGTTGACCTGGTTATAGTGACCTTACAGCAAGGACACCACGCAGAGAGCCAGAGTGAATAATTGATGAGTGAATAAACGTGGGGTAAGCTTCATTCAGTACCACCACCCTCAGCCCCTTCTAAAATACTAATCAGATAAAATTAATAACCACACGCCCACTAGGCATGTTTTTAAGACACGTGACTCCTTTGAGGGAAAAGAGTATAAGAATCAAGCAAGTAAATTACTGTGGTTAGGATTCCTTAATTGATGCTTGAAGAAGCAACACTGCTTGGCAGAGTAGCCAAAACTCTGCTCCGTGGGCTCGAGTAGGACTGTGAACCAGAGAGGTCTCAAGTCAACCAAGGCCTTACCCCGAGGGAATCCAAGACAGACCAGAGGGCTGAGAAGAACAGACCTGGAGGGAAGAAGCCATCTATAAAATTGGTAACCGCCTTCTCTGTTTGCCAAGCAGAAACTGCGTGAGGCTAGCGCAGGGCCTGTTTGTATGAGAGAGACTCGTTATGAGGACTGTATAGCTCTTAATGTCTAACATAAGAGTTATGTGCTTGATATAACCCTTTACTACTTGTTAATTCCTTCTCAATAAACTGCTGTGCATTGAAGATAATTACTGTGGACCTTTTTCCCTGGTATGACAGTAATCTGCTCCACCGGGAGCCAGGAAAGATCCATTTCAGGGGTAGTAGCACCCTCTGTTGTCAACACACGTCTTCCACATTGCCTGAGGCAGCTCAGCAGGCATCAAGTGAAAAAACTGTTCATTAAGCAGACTTCTTAAGGGAGGGAAATCCTTATTATCAGGGGAGGGAATCTTGGACACAAGAGTCTGAGAGGGCTCAACTTTGATATCCTCTTTAAAGTCAAGGTGAATACTCAAAAGAATAAAAAGGTGGATTAATTCTTCAATGTAAAAGGTGTTTTCATAGAACTCTATGGCATTTGCAATGCTACATCTTCAGCAGAAGAAAGAATTAAACCCTCTAGGAATGCGAAATTGATAGCTCCATTAGTCAAAGAGCTAGCCTTTTAGTTTCTGTATGTTTATTACTTTCATACCTGGTCAAAATGATTTATTATCCAGTCTCCAAACTTTATTTTCTCTTACACACCTTTCACTAATATGACTGACCATAATTCCCTGCAGTCATTCTAATAATAAGTCTGTTAATATGATTTTTCCATAGACCATTTAATTGTCATTATACCTGGATAACAAATGATTTGTCACATAAGCAGAAGAAAAACCTGCTCTGTTTAGAACCAAAATTTTTAGGTATGGTTCGTGGTGTCTTATTATATCTCTATTACACCAGTTGACCCATTTTGACTTCAGATCTTCTGGCTGAAAATGAGCTTCAAGCCATACCTCAATGCTAGAGCTTTGTACTACATATATAGATCACAATATAGGCTGGTCATGACAGGTCACCTTTATAAAGATCAGTTTTAATGATTGCAATATAATAAATATACACATGAAAGTAAATGATTCACAGTGTTGAATATGTAGGGTGAATTCCAGGTCCCACTGAAGTCAATGACAAAACTCCCAAAATTCCTGACTTCAGTGGGACCAGGAATTCACCTGTAGCTTTTAGATTTCAAGATTAGTTTTATACAATGCAAATGAAAATAACTTAAGTTTGCAGATGTACTGTAAAGCTCTAGCAGGGTCTGATCCTGAAACATTTGTACACTTAGAGCACCTATTCATATCATTGGCTATTAGTTTTGCACTCATGGTTGCAACCTCCAGCTGTTATGTCATGTACCAAGTCTTCTAAAGACTTCCTCCAGAAAAAGAGGCGAGTCCAAATCAGTTCTTTCTAATGCTTATAAATGCATGTTTAAAAACTTTTTTGAGGAAATATCTTTTATGAGCCATTGTGCTGGGTTTGGCCCTAAATGGAAGAATTATAGTTTGAAACAGACTCAGGCATCCACCCATGCCACAGCTGGTCAGTTACACAACGAAAACCTTTTTAATGCTACCACAGAAGTGTTGGAAATGGAACAAGGATCTGCCCCATAGAAAACAATTATTATTAATATGCCTATTTTGGACGTACTGCATCCATCTCTTGGTTAATTTTATGTTAACCAGTAAGATATCATACCCTCAGGTGCATAGGACGTCAGTTTCTGCCATTTATTTCAATTTTGTGCTAGTCTGTTCAGGCTCCTGGGTGTCACATTGATGAATTTGTTTTCCCCTCCCCTCTATTGTTTTGTATAATGTTTCTCTAGGTCACCCTTTTTCTCTCTTTCCAGGTGGTGTCCATATTATCACCTGCCATGTAAGTCGTGTTGGTGGCATCCTTAAAGCCTGTCTTAAATATGTCCACCATCATCTTCTGACCAAATCTGATGCTTTAGATGGGTTTGCTCTACTTAGAATTTGAGGTTGCAAGAATCACTTCTCTTTTTAGCAGATTGCCATGACTCTCTCACATAATGAAGGACGTATATGAGGCCAGTGTTAAAAATTCATATTTTTGTGTCCGTGCCAATTCTGCTACTTTTCCAAATCCTTTCAATTTTATGAAAATTGTTTGCTGCTTTTGATATTCATTGCTTAGCATCTAGCATGGGGTCACCATCATTACACATCTCAGTCCCTCGACAGGTAAAATGACCTATATCTAGTGTTTCTTCATCCACTTTAATAGTTACTTTGGGACACTGATATATTGTGTTTTCACCTTGTTGAGGAACAAACCAACAATGTTTTGCTATAGCTGTCAAAAGCTGGGTCTTTTCTTCCATTAAGCTATGTATCAAACTAAGCAGGACAACGTCATCAGCAAAAGAGGTCATCCAATTGTGCTCTATCATTTACATATTTTGCTGGAATGGAAAATCTGGATAACGCTCAAGAACTGGATCTTGAAACAAAATAGACTCCAGGCATGTTTTTTTAAATAAAAAATGCCTTTGAAAAAGCCCAGTCGCAAATTCTCAAATTGCTATTCTCTCTGTTTTTTATTTATTCATTGTATTTGTTGTTTTGGACAAAGCATGATACAACATTGTATGAGCTGCTTGGTTATGCAACCAAAATAAAAGAATGTGAATGATCCAGAAATCATGGAGACCAACTCTTTCCTCATGTGAACACACTCAGGAGCTGGACCACAGCAATCTATTTCTGAATTTAAAAAAAAGAAAAAATTGCTCTCATACCTTGCGGGCCTTCAAATGCATCAGTTTCTTTTCCGTTTCAATAAATGCCAGGGCCTAGGCAAACATTTTGCTGGGCCCAGGGCAAACTCATAGCACATACAACCTCCCATCCCACACAGACACATTAATTAATGAAAGAAAAATATATTTTATTTCTGAAATGGCATGGACAGGCCTTATCACTTATAACTTCACATTTCTGGCCTTTTTCATTGCAAAGTCATAAGTGACCTCCCTAAAGTAATATTTTCTTACAGGTTCACACACAGACAAAACAGCAAGATGACTTAAGTGTTTCTGTGCCATAGTAGGTCATTTGCAGTTTTTGATGAGTGTCAATTAGCTGCCACTGCTTTCGGTTTGTGCCACACTCACTAGCAACATGCAAAAAAATCCTACAGATGTGCACACTTCACTGAAAATTAGTTGTAGTTTTTTGTTGTAAGTCTTCAGAAGCCAGTACACCAGATATTCCAGATTTTGTTTGCCAAAAAATTGTTCTGTGTTTAGTCCACAATCCTGATGCTTAAAAAACATGAATCAGTAAGTAGTGCAGCACTATTCCTGCTTCTTGCAAACCTTCCTCTGTGCCTGGTGGTGACATTACTCAACTATCTGTGGAAGTCATTAGATTGGAATCACATGATTCATCTGGTTGCTTTTCTTCATCTATTTCCACAGTCTCCACCTTCACCTTGCTGTTCATCCAGTTTCCCACTTTGTGCATTGCTTGAACCAGACTGTTGAGAGGCCTGATCTATCTGGAAAAAAGGAAGGCTTAACTAGTGTCCTTTAGCAGCTTTTCTTTCCCTGTCTTTAAGCTCCTGATATTTCTGTCTGCCTGATTTGTATTTATAGATAGACATGGCAGTATGGCACAAATAATAATAATGACCAGTGACATATGACCCACAGGGACCCTGGAAGTACTGTTCCCTGTCCCCGAGATCTGATCTCAGCCTTTCTGAGCACCCTGGAGGACCAATTCATTGATCCCTGTCTTGGAATCTAGTCTCAGCTCTCACCCCTGGAGGACCAGCTCACTGTTCAGACGGTTACTTCTGTTCTAACACTGCTTCTGATCAGCTCAGGTAAATCTCACAAGATCTGGAGGCCATGTAGATGCATTGGTACAAACACACTCACTGAGATTATATAAAAAACATTTACTGAAACTCAAATGTCCAGAATATTTTTCTTATAGTGATGGGCTTGTGGCCGGGCCTCAGTAAAGCGTACCCATATCCCATCCCTCCCCCCCCCCACATTTTACTTGGGGTTTGAGTATAAACACATGCACCTCCCACATTTGTATATAAACTATGCTCATAGGATTTGTATGACTTGCTTCTTTTTGCTTGATATTTTAGGAAGTATTACTTTTTCTTACATGACTTCTTGGAATATTTGTTAAATGGCAACAATAAAAAACAGATATTTGTCTGTCTAGATAGTTACATGGTCCCCCATCACCTGGATTGCCTGATGAGGTAAGCATTACTGTCCCCATTTTACAGATGGGAAGCTGAGGCAGGGAAACTGGACTCTTCAAATTAGCCTAAAGAAGATAAATACCCAAACATGACTGAACTTCCTTTGGCTCCTTTTGAAAATTCCATCCAGAGAAATTAAGTGACTTACCCAATGCCGTATAAGAGAGGTTTAGAAGAGCCAGCAATCGAACCCAGGTCATTTGAATTCCAGTCCAGTGCCTTAACCACAAGACCATCTTGTGAACACACTATAACCCTTCTAATTCACAGTATGTATTATTTGAATTGCTTATGAATCAGCCCTACTTACTCTCACCTGAGATCAGTGCAGGCCAGGATTGTAACCTATGCCACTGCATCAGTAGCAGCACACAGCAGTTATGGCAGTCCCTGACTACGATGGGTTGCATACTAAATGTGTGTTTGGGGACATATTAAATGCGTGTCTGTCTTTGTGATTTCTTAAACGAGAGTATTGAGAAGTTGGGGTGAGGTATGGCGGGGAGGGGAGAAGAAAATAGTAAGGTCAAGCAGTTTCCTTTAACAGATCCTAATGAAAAACCCCACAATCCTATCAATTCTGTGCTGTTAAACTATACTTTGGGTGAAAAGAGTTTTCATTTGCATTAACAATAAAACCATGTAGCATTACATGCTCTTACCTTTCGCAAAGTGTTTGAAAAGACTTTCAAATCACCAAGAGTGGAGTAAAGGCCATTAATAACCCCAATTTCTGGTTTGTAGCAAGTACTGTACTTTTATGAGATTCAACAACCTCCTGCATAAAACAGAACTCTCAATATTTTTGTAGGCTGTAAAATAAATATTCTCGCTGCAGGTGGTAATCCTTTCTTTTCAGACTTTCATTTCACATGCTTGTCCAGGCAACGTGAGCTTTAAACACATCAGTGGCATTTATTTGTGGCTATGGAAACCTTTTGGCTTTCATACGCACAGCTCTCTGCAGCCTTTGAGATAGATGATCAGAAGTGCTGCTGACCTGCTTACAAAACCTATCTAGGCGAGAATGATGTAGCACAATTATGGCTTAAATCATGCCTCTCAAACAAGAGACACAGTTTTGATGGGTAGCTGCTTTTCACATTCAAGGACCTGATCAAAAATCCACCGAAGTCAATGGAGACACTCCCGTTGACTTCAGCAGGCTTTGGATGAGGCCTTAAGAGTCCTTATAACCTGAAAATTTTACAGGGATCAATACTGTACTCTCTGCTCTTCAATATTTGAGATCTTCGAGAAACTTTGAGCTGACATGGGCTGCATTAGCAACAACGCACTTTCTCAGGTGGAAAGCTGTTCAAGGCAGGGCCTGCATCTTTATGCGTGTACATGTATGTGAAGACTCTACCACACTGTAGGAACCACCACAGTAATAGTAATGATAACAGAAATATACATTTCTATTTCTTTCTCAGAAAATGCAACCATTGCCGTTACTAAAATGTCTACAAGAGATTAGCACCTGGATGAAGAACAACTGGCTTGAACTGAACCCTAGTATGACTGAGATGAGGTAGGTGGAAATGCTTCAAGAAGCTAGCCAAGATATTCAATTCTCCCTTCATTAAAGGCATCTATACTCTAATTGACAATGTAAAAGTCTCGGGGTTTTAGGGGCCCATCACTAGTTCCCGAATACCCAAGTAGCAACAACGGCAGGAATTGCCTTCTGCCACCTTCAGCTTGTCAGGACACTATGCTTTTCATCTCAGATTTCACTGCAGTGATTTATGTGTGTGCTCCTCATCACCAGGCTGAACTACTGTATTTTGCTGTTCATGGAGCTGAAGATATAAGCAACACAGTAAATACAACTGATACAGAATGCTGCAGCCCTTTTCCATTGCAAAGAATACCACCAAGGACACATCATCTCAGTACCCCACTGGCTCCCTATTTGCTTCTGGTGCTTATTTAAGCCTTGATGTTGATCTTTAAGGTCCTCAGTGATTGGGGTCTGGTTACATCTGAGACTGCCCTTCCATTGTGACCCACCAGCCTTGTTCTTCTGGGAAGACTGTGACCAGCATCCACTGTGAAGCTCTCAAAAGCTGGAGATAAGAGATTCTTGATCAAGGACTCTTGACAATGAAGCAACTTACTAGAGAAAACAAAGCTGACCACTTTCAGAGCACATTGCAGACCTATTTTTGTAAAAGCCTTTTTCGCAATAACCAAAAGGCACCAAAATAAAATACTACTGTACATAAAACAGTAAACAAAACATTTCTCCTGGGAAGCCAGGAGAAGGACAAAGGTCACTGTGGAAAACTATGGGATTCTTACCATATTTGGTGCATAGAAATTATGGGGATATATACCCTTGACATAACTTACAGCGATTCCATTACATGGCAGCATCCTGGCAAAGTTTGTGGTCCAGCCAGTGATCTCCTTAGCCTTCCATTCCATAGAAGCCTGTAGGAAAGACGAAAGGAAAAGTCAGCCATTCTCAGAATCCCAAGGCAAACAATCTGCACCTCTGTGATGAAAATGTCTCCCTGGCTCTAAGGGCAAACATGAGTTTGTATATAATTTCCTATTAAAGCTCCTAGTGGATTACAACAAGCACAGTTATTTATTACCTTCCACTTTTCAAACTAGCTAAGGTGGTAGTACATGACTTTGGACCCAATCTTACATTTTTTTATGCAGGTAAAATTTCCATTGATTACAGATGGAATTTTGCCTGAGCAAAGATGGAAGAGTCAGGTCCTTTCAAAGGAATTTATGTGCTTCAGAGTGAGAAGAGGCTGTGTCTCCGTGTGTCACTCTGGTTCCACACCAAGCTATTTTTTAGTTGCCTTTTTGGACCACTTTTAGTACAACATATTTTTTCCTATATTGGCCTGAGGTGAGTGTCAGGGGTATTGATGCTTTTGTGCTGAGAAGTAAAATAAGGGACTTTTAATAAATTCTTACGACTTCTTCACAGTGGAAAACTCTACAACTAAAAGCTACTCATTGTACAAAGCATAGAACAAACGAGGTCCCTGCACTCAGGGGCTTGCAATCATTGAACCTGACCAATAAAAAGACTCCCATTAAATTTAAAGGGCTTTGGATGAGGCCAGTAGGCCACCACTTCTGCAAATCGATCTGCAAATCTCTGTACTTGTGTGTAAACCTATAGACTCAATAAGGCTCTGAAAAAGCAAAAGGGACCATATGTGAAGAACCAATTGCAGGATCAGGGCCTAAGTATATACGGTTTCCTAACCCATTAGATACCAACCAAATACAAATCATACAGCATTTCAGGAGAACCACAAAATGGAGAAGTACCAAACTTCCAAAGCAATAAATAGAGTTCTTCAAGCCATTATCCAGTTATGAGAAAGTTCTTTTTTTTTTTAAACCAAAATTCTGTTTGAGACTCTTTGGAAACAGGCTCCCCCTATAGCTCCTGTAAAACCTGGCTGCTAAGCCTTCTTTCTGAACTCAGCATGCACAGTTCAGCAGGAAACCACCACCATGTGTCTTTATTGCTGTTTATGTTCCAGGTACATCACAACATGATATAGAGCTGCCTTCTTGCTCCCTTGCTCAGCCTTTTATACTGCTTGCTTTCTTCTCAGAGCTACCCAGCTGGTCAGTTAATTAGCTCATCAGGTTCCCTACAGGTGCAAGTGCTCCTTTGTACCCTTCCAAACAAACTGGTTAAGTCCCTCCTACTCTAACTACACCCAGTGCTAGCTTCCAAAGGGCTCAGTTCGTAACTGCTAACTGCACCCTATCACATGAATTTGTCAAAAGTGGTCACTGTAGCTGGTGGGTTTGGCTCCATTAACTCAGGGTGTTGAGTCTGTTTCAGGGGTTTTCCATGTTCCCATACCTTCCCGCAACAACATGAGTTAAGAATGAGGTATCACTTGCACACAACTCAACATTTTGAACAGTGCACAGACATTTTTTCACATGCTTGACTTGTACATATAATATGCTCAATGCATGTGTGCAAGCAAGGGATATGCAGATACATATACCTCTGTGCACACATAACCCTAACTTGCTTATGCATGCCAGGAAATAGGGCTATAAACCCCACTACATTTATTTAAGTATCTCCTCTAATATCAGTGCTCATTACAAATGTCCCAGCTGGGCTTCTCATAGGCACAGGGATCCACACTCGTGGATCACAGAACAGGATCAAGGCCTAAGGTAGGAAAAGAGTTTTCCCTTCATAACCAGATTGTTCCTCTGCCACCACTATGGTTTGTGAAACCATAAATGTTGCTTTTATCATAGAGGACTGTGATGCCACAGAGAGTGGGTTTAGCATCAGAGTGTAACTCTAGATGTCAGCGCAGTATACCTTAAAAATCACATCAGCATTATTAACTCTGAGGGTCCAATAGGAGTTGTGTGCAGAAGGCATGAGGTTATGATAGGGTGAACATATTTCCCTATGCTATATATGGGACACCTGGTAAAATTACTCATATTCAAGTGAGTTCAATGGCAATCAATCACAACTATGCTGTCCAAACATTCAAATTAACATCAAGTTGTCTGAGCCCGTTAAAAAGGAATACTGCGAAATTGGATCCTTTTTATTTACCTTCTTATCTTTAAGGCTTTAAGGTTCACATGGGGCGGGGGAAGGATGACCTGGCCCATGTCTTTGCAGAGCTCATCTCTTCTCTCCCCTCCCCTACCCCGCTCCCCTGTGGCTGGAAGCAGCTTGTCCCTTCCTGCCTGCACAGTGTCAAAAGGCTGCTAACACCTCCAGGCTGATGCTGGCCACCAACATAACCCAGCCGCCTCCTGTCCCCTGGCTACAGCATGGGCAGGAAGGGGTTAAGCCCTAAGGATGCATTGTGCACCAGGGCCCGGGGAACCTGACTGCAGGGGCTTCAGTGAACCTAGCCAGAGAGGTGGCTCAGCAGGAGCGGGTGCATAGGGGATGGAGCAGCCCCATGCTTGCTGGGGGCAGGATCCAGGGTGGTGGGGATGGGAGTAGAGGGTGCTAAGCTCCTGCCCCGGGGGCTGAGGTGGATTGGGATGTGAACAGGCTGGAAATCGCTTCCCCCCTGCCACTCCAGAGCTTAGCTGAGGGGTGGAGAGGCTTCCCCACGCCAGTGCTGTGTGGGGCTTTGGCACTCACAGGGTTTGGTTCCTCCTGGCCAGCGTCCCAAGCCGGAGGGTCTTGGGCTTTCCCGGGGCACCGGCCAAACCAGAAGCAGTGAGGGAGGGAAGAAGCCTGCCGGCCAGGCTGTTCATGAGCTGAGCACTCCAACCAGGGGCTGGTTCTCTGCACAGCACTGGGAGTGGGACGCACCCCGCCGCGGGGATTATGGAGGAGCAGTGGGGCTGAGGGTGTGTGTGAAGGGGCAAAACAGGGAGAGGACAGCAAGAGGGGGAGTATGTAAAGGGCTCATTGGTGGGCAGCAGAGGTGATACGTAACTGGCTGCCACCTGAGGCCTACCTGCACTCACCAGCCACCACAGCTCGCAGTGTGCAGCCAGTGCCGGCTGGAACAGAACGAGGCCCTGCTGGCCAAGAGCTAGCATGCAGCAGGGGCTGCGCTGATGGACTAGCGTGGGAAGTGGCCAGCACCGCGTGCTGCAGCTTTGCCCCGCCACCAGCCTTGAACACCCACCCCCACCGCTGGCTACTGGACACCCCCCACACTCACACTCACCACTGGTGAGCAGGCAGCTGGCAAGCATGGATCTGGCCAGCAGCGGGACCCACAAGTACTGATGCGGGGAGACAGAAAATACAGGATATTTTTAAAGAAAAAGTCAGGACATCTGCAGGGGGGCTTAAATACGGGACTGTCCCTTTAAAAACAGGACATCTGGTCACCCTAGGTTATGATAACATTTGAAAAGGAACAGAAGATTATATGTGGGGATACAAATTGTTACATTCACATAGAGAAATTAGAAGAAACAAAATGATCTCGCTAGAAAGCTGCTACACTGCAGCATAACACACACACAAAAGCAGAGCAAATAGCAAGCTGCTGCCTAAGGCAGAGACACAACTCAACCCACCTTGCTGTGGCTGGCTCTTTGCAGACTGCACACTGAGGACAAGATCACATGACTTCCCTCAAAGTCTACAGACCTATAATTTAAAGGGATAGCTATAATTTTACCACAATTTTCAATACACCACACAAATGTGTAACTAAGTATGTAGATAATTTCACACAACCAACCAACACAAATGTGGCCCGTGATCAGGTGATAAGGCAAATACAACAGCACACAACAAATGTTTTAATAGCCACAATACCAAAAATAGCATTTTAACAAAAGAGAGCTCCCAGTGATACTTTTTAGTTCAAAGTAGAGGTGAAGCCACTTGCCTTCATACAAGTTATTACTCAGAAAAAATATAAAGGAAAATTAGAAAATAAAGATGCAGTTTGCCAAGTCTACAAGGCTTTTTGATTAAATCCAGAATACTGATGCACACCTGTCTGGGTAGCATTTGTAAGGGGCCCACTAAAAACAAGCAAACAGACAAATGAACACTCTACTCACATCACTGCAATCTGTAAACTTGCTGCTTTTCTCAACCACACAACACCGAGTGGAAGGAAACTTCCACTTACAAACCAGGAAGTAAGAGAGGGGTGGATTATCCTGGGAACTACAGGCCAGTCAGCCTCACCTCAGTCCCCGGAAAAATCATGGAGCATGTCCTCAAGGAATCAATTCTGAAGCACTTAGATGAGAGGAAAGTGATCAGGAACAGTCAGCATGGATTCACCAAGGGAAAGTCATGCCTAACTAATCTAATTGCCTTCTATGATGAGATAACTGGTTCTGTGGATGAAGGGAAAGCAGTGGACATGTTACTCCTTGACTTTAGCAAAGCTTTTGACATGGTCTCCCACAGTATTCTTGTCAGCAAGTTAAAGTATGGGCTGGATGGATGCACGACAAGGTGGGTAGAAAGTTAGCTAGATTGTCAGGCTCAACGGGTAGTGATCAATGGCTCCATGTCTAGTTGGCAGCTGGTATCTAGCGGAGTGCCCCAAGGGTCGGTCCTGGGGCCGGTTTTGTTCAATATCTTCATTAATGATCTGGAGGATGGTGTGGATTGCACCCTCAGTAAGTTTGCAGATGACACTAAACTGGGAGGAGTGGTAGATATGTTGGAGGGTAGGGATGGGATACAGAGAGACCTAGACAAATTGGAGGATTGGGCCAAAAGAAATCTGATGAGGTTCAACAAGGACAAGTGCAGAGTCCTGCACTTAGGACGGAAGAATCCAATGCACCGCTACAGACTAGGGACCGAATGGCTAGGCAACAGTTCTGCAGAGAAGGACCTAGGGGTGACAGTGGACGAGAAGCTGGCTATGAGTCAACAGTGTGCCCTTGTTGCCAAAAAGGCCATTGGCATTTTGGGGTGTATAAGTAGGGCATTGCCAGCAGATCGAGGGACGTGATTGTCCCCCTCTATTCGACATTGGTGAGGCCTCATCTGGAGTACTGTGTCCAGTTTTGGGCCCCACACTACAAGAAGGATGTGGATAAATTGGAGAGAGTCCAGCGAAGGGCAACAAAAATGATTAGGGGTCTGGAACACATGACTTATGAGGAGAGGCTGAGGGAACTGGGGTTGTTTAGTCTGCGGAAGAGAAGAATGAGGGGGGATTTGATAGCTGCTTTTAACTACCTGAAAGGTGGATCCAAAGAGGATGGATCTAGACTATTCTCAGTGATAGCAGATGACAGGACAAGGAGTAATGGTCTCAAGTTGCAGTAGGGGAGATTTAGGTTGGATATTAGGAAAAACTTTTTCACTAGAAGGGTGGTGAAACACTGGAATGCGTTACCTAGGGAGGTGGTGGAATCCCCTTCCTTAGAACCTTTTAAGGTCAGGCTTGACAAAGTCCTGGCTGGGATGATTTAGTTGGCGATTCCTCAACTAAATCATCCTGCTCTGGGCAGACGGTTGGACTAGATGACCTCCAGAGGTCCCTTCCAACTCTGATATTCTATGATTCTATGGCTCCAAACCGTAATACTCTGGATAATTCAATTAATCCCTTTACTGCAGTAGCTGCCCTGATTTCCCCTACTCTATCAAACTGCTGGTACCCTTTAATGTCTGTAGCAAACGGTATGTTCTAAGTACAGGACTTGGAGCTATGGATGCCTGGATTCTAATCCTAGCAGTGACTTCCTTTATGCAGTGGGACAAGACACTTAATACTCATTCTGTTTCAGTTTTCCTAGTTGTAAAATGGGAACAGTAAACAGAGCACCCACCTCACAGGACTGAAGATTGTAAAGATTTGTAAAGCACTTTGAAGAACTTCAAAATACTATTAAAGCACTGCTACAATAGAGAACTCCATTTAGCCATTAAGGTCCAGTTCCCCAAAGCAGAGTTTTATGTATGTTGCTTAAAGTATATCCCTTAAGTGCTGAATTTCCTAGCTTTTATAGGTCAAAGTCAGACTCATTCTATGAGTTACAAGCAGGGTTGTGGGGTGTTTGGGGGCAGGGTTTAACCGAAATAATAGCGTGCCACCATTATAGAAGGTGGCACGCCATTATAGAAGAGTTTGCATGAAGAGAAACATTCCATTTGTCATGTCAGATTGGTATAACAAGGTACTAAATATGGTGTTTTGTGTTAACTGTATTAGTAGCATGTGATGAACTTTCCAAACCCCTCTGAGCAAGTGCATTTATCAGTGCTGTAGTAAGACCTGTAAAACAAATTGTAAGTAACTCTTATTTTGTACCTATTGGTAGATTACATGATATTGCTGCCAAACAAGCCTCACAAGCTGCCATACCAGCTGGAGGAACTTCTGTTTAGGATAATATAAGTGTGATTCTGAACAGCTTTTATAGTTATGACTAATTCAGTGTAGCTTCATTGTAAATTAAAGCATTGGGACAGCCAATAGTATAGCTATCAAATGAATGAAATGGCTGTGGGACTGTCAAAATTTCTCCCTCAACCTGCATTTAAAAGGCCAATCTGAGCTACAGAGGTCTCCTGTCAGAAATAAAGCCAATAATAGATTACATTCAAACATGGCTGCTTTGGTATTCTTGCAGGACGAACCCGAGAAAAACAAACCAGTAAAACCCTCTGAACAAGACATCATGATGTATATTTTAATGTATTTTAAAACACACCATTTGTTACTTCTCTAGGCATTTGTACTATGACTAAAGAAATCAAAATGTCGTTAATTTCAGTTAACTTGACAAAAGAACTAACTCTTCAATTAAATAAAATGCCCCCCATCAAGCCAAAGTCTGTCCAAACAGATGGGCTTTGCAATGAGATTGAAGGTCAGTAGGTTCTGGTGCTGTTTGTACAGATTTTGTCAGTAATTGCCATAGTTTATAACCCTTCTTAGCTACTACTCTGAACAAAGCTGCACATAGCTTATAAGGAATGGAACCTAGAGCAGAGTAGCTAGCCAGGAAAGCTGAGAACACTATTAGCTCCTCTTATATAAAAGATCTTGTTGGCCCTCACTGGAATAAGGTTAATAAGAAGGTTTAGCTCACCTGGGGGCTGTTTCAACTTCACTTGCAATTATAAAAACATAATTTAGGATTTTAGGGCAGAGGCATTTTGCAAAGGGTTTATTTTTCCTGTTCTCTTTTTCCTTCTAGAGATTTTGTCCAAGAGGCTGAAAGAAGAGGAGGTATTTCTTTGGGACTTGCTGCCTGTGGGCTGGGGGAATGTGGGAATCGATTTAGACTGGTTAAATCTCCAAGAGAGTTTCCTGTCTGTTTGGAACGCTCTCCTGTTATTTCATTCAATGTTCAAGTATTATTTCGGGTGCAACACTTCTGTGAGCTTTAAAGGCCTATTATGTGTGACATTATTTTGCACAAACACACCCTTCTGTATGGAATACTCTTGGCTTAAGACTGCTTAATAAATACCCAAACCATAGAGCGAAAAAAAGGAAAATCAAATCTGAGCCCTGCTGAAATTCAATGGAAGGGAGGTTGATTTGAATTCCCAAATCTTAATCCCAGGTCAGATCCCATACTGGATAGGGTCTGCTTTCATCTTCTGTTTCAGATGAGGCCTAAAAATGGTTCTTATGAGATTCAGCCAAGATGATGATATCTTGTGAGACTGAGACCCTCAGATCCCTACTTTGTACTGAACATTCTACCCCAAACACAATCTGGATACAAATATCACCGCTCTGATTGATTTCTACTAGCACTATTGAAGGCTTAATTCTGTTCTTTGTTACTGTGGTGTCAATCTCAAATAACTCCATTAAAATCAATGGAGTTACTCCAAATTTAAAACAGCACAACTTCAAAGAGGGTCCTCTGGACAGAGTGTAACTGAGAGCAGAATTTGGCTCTAAATCTGGTATATGCACATTTTCATGTATCCCTTTCAGCCATTGCTGAGCCTTATCTGATTTTTGTTCTTTGCTTATATTTTTCCTAGCTTTTGTTTGTCTCTCTCTCTCCCGGAGTCTTCCAAAGTTTGTGTTTGAATAAGCAGCACCAGTATTTTGATACTTATCCAAGTTACCTGAAAGTCTTGTTCGCAGTGAAATTATGTGATTGCTCTTATTTTGTTCCAGCTAATTCATTTATCTCTGCTTTCAGCCTCCCTTTCTCTCTCTCTCTCTCCTCCACCCCCTTTTTAGGGCCATTTACTCACTGCATACAGAACAAATCCCTAAACCTTTAAAAAATACTCCACCTTTTCTGATCAATTCATATTAGGTAAGAGAGAAAAATCAAAAGAGATTGTAATCAACTGAGACCACTCTCTTCCAGGGATGTGAAACTCCGTTTATTGATCCAAATCTTTAGTCTGGTCTTCAAAACATGGAAGCAAACAATCCTCAACCAGCTTCCCTTTGACACCTGAAAGAAACCTTCCCTCTACCCAATATTTCCTTTTTAAGCACCCCATCACCAGCTTTGCCACAAGAAACCCAAGGATCTCCCATCCTTAACTTAGATGCCTTTGGAGATGGGAAGGAGTGTAGGGCGCATTAGAGGACAGGCAAGGAACTCAGCAGAGGTGAGAGAAGTTCATCTTCTTGCTAACTGCATGAAGAATCTGTCTCTGTATAGCTATTAAGAAAAGG